GTGTGTATTACAACAAATTTGAAGAAGCCTCTGACGGAGTAAACTATCTTTCTGTGACAGTCTCATGAAGAGGATTCTCAGGGTTTCCATAATTCTCTTGATTTTATGCAAAATCCTTCTTTGTACAGTCATCTCCAGAGGTTCCACAGTTGTCCCCAGAACATCTTTTTCCGGTTTTTTTACCCTTTTTTTTTTTTTAGGTTGTTTTGATAAAACATTCTGGGAAGATGTTTATTATTGAACATCTTTTCAGTCCCTTCAGGATTTTGTGATTCTTTTTGTGATTTTTTGCAATAAAACTCAAAGTGTTTGTGGTACTAATTTGGAAATATTTGCGATATTTGAGCTTATTTATGATGGTAAATACAACTTTTTATTACTCACTGTATAGATCATGGACTATAATCTAAACTCAATTAAGGCTGAGTTAGCTGTTTAGTACAAGTAAGAAAGTTTCTAGAAATCTTTGAGAAAAATCTGCAATAAACTCCCAATTATGTATTAATGCAAAAAAGTGCAGGGATTTTACTGATTTTGCATGAATTTCCACAATAACTCTCAAGAAACTAGAGGGACTGATTGATATAATTTGGCAGTAAAGAGATAAAAACTGCATTGATTTGACTGATAGCTTAATATTTAAGCACATTTAGTGTTTATTCTAGAATGTATAGGGCCACATAAACAGCTATGGCGGGCCGGATTTGGCCCATAGGCCTTGAGTTTGACACATGTGCAATAAAGATATTGCCCCGCTATTCTTTTCTATTGTTTTTATTTTACTTATTCACGTAAAAATTAGTTGTACAACACAGGAAGCTACATCACATAATTTACCAACTTAAATGAACCAAGAAAGGCAATAAAAATAAATATGATGTATAATTTTACATAATAAAAATAAGGTAGCTAATTTATGCTTTAGAAATCGTGTTTTGCTCCTGATAGCTGTGAAATTCCCAACAGCACTTGAAGGGGCCATGAGACAGCATAGCTAATCGCCTTCAACTGAAACCAGTTGAGGAAGGGTAGAGAAGACAAGATGGCGGAGTGAGTGGGTTGCGCTTTGTATAGACGGTTGCGGTTCTTAAAGTTAGCCGGAAAAGCAGTTAAGAGACTGTAGAACTACCATTACCATCATCGGGAGCGTTGCTTTCAGCTCCTTGTGACAGAAACTTGGGACACTTTTCAGTGTTGCTGCTCGCTACAACGTTAGCCTTATGCTAAACTTTGCTGTGCTGACGTTAGCTTCTTGTTAAAGGCCTTCAGCTTGTTGGGATTTAGTTTTGGATTTACTCCTTCTGTTTGGCACGACATTTTTCTAGAGAAATTATAGGTTCTAGCTTATGACAAAACCAATATCGCTGGTCGAGATCCACTGAAAATAATCGTTTTCGTATTTGGGGGGGGGGGAAATTGTTTGTGAGAGGTTGTGCGGTGGTTTTACTAATAACGCAACTTTATGTTCTACCGATAACCAAGGTTGACCAACAAACGCAAAGATCTTAAAGCTTTTCTGTTGGTAATTGTTCTTCGGTTGATATTATGGCCAGCAGCAGTGGTTCCAAAGCCGAGTTCATAGTCGGTGGAAAGTACAAGCTCGTCAGAAAAATTGGATCGGGATCTTTCGGCGACATTTATTTGGCAATCAACATCACAAATGGAGAGGTAACTTGGTGAATCAGTCTGTTTCTGGGTTTTTGTTTGGGAATGGGATGGTTCATTTTAGATTCTTACTATGACAGGCAGATCGCAACACTGCCCTGCCTGTTTGCCGGAGAACTAAGAAGATTTCATGTTAGCCTATTGGTATATCGGAAGTGTTTGTCATCTCAATTCTTGAACTGCAGCGGTAACAGCTACTATGTTGTGTGTGATTTGTAGGAGGTAGCTGTAAAACTAGAATCCCAAAAAGCCAGACATCCACAGCTCCTATACGAAAGCAAGCTGTACAAGATCCTTCAAGGTGGAGTCGGGATTCCACACATCAGGTAAGAAAATCTTTTCTCCCCTCTTAGTCTAGTTGGTGTCATCGTATTTATGCGGTTCCGTTTGCTTTGCCATCCAAGACACAGAGAACAATCAGTGATTTAGCGAAGGTCTAGTTGAGATAGGGCTCGCTAATTATGAATCAATTCTTGTGAAGATATATTTTCAACCAAACAACCTTATTTCACTGTGAAGCCTCTTTAGGCCGCATTTGGATCCAAGGCAGGGAAAAGCTATGTGGTTGGAAATGGCCGCTCCTCTTTTGTTGTGTTACTTCCCAACATGTCTGTTAGAAAATGGCGGCGGAGCTTTCTGAAGACACAGAGTTCCTCAGAGAAGCTAGTCGAACCAGATTTTTATTTTTTGCAGGATCGTTAAAATTGTGTCTTCAGAGCGACACGCACGTCATCTCTACTCCGTATATTTTGAACTAAATTTTGCTGACACACAGGCGCACTGTGTGTGTGTATGTATATATATATATATATATATATATATATATATATATATATATATATATATATGTTGGGGATGCTCGGTGGTAGAGTTCATTGCCGGGTGGAGCAGAAACGGTGCTACGTCTATGAAATATTGCTGCCAGTAGCACATAGTGGCGATCTAGCAGCAAAAGCAGAGCCAGAGTCTTACACCACTAGCCCGAAGACTTGAGTTATTTTTCAGGTTATTTGTTTTCTGACCATCATGCTCTTCCGGGTGAGTGTTGGAAGGTGTGCGCTGCTTCACCTGCTGCCTGGCCGCTCCGTATGTCTTTTTTTTTTTTCCTGCAGTGAACGTCGATTTAGCCAAACTTCGTCAGGTGTTGTTTTTTAAATGTCATATTAGATTTGTTGTGTTGATGCATTTTGACGTCCTTCACCCCCGAGGTATTTCTGCGTTGCAACACGCAAACTTCCCCATTCACTCTGAGCGTTGAAGTTCCTCACCACATCACTTAGGATTTGTTGCTGCGTGCTTTGTAGTGTGAAGGAAAGAGGAGATAAGCTGCTCACTCAGGCTTCTAAGTGAGAAACAGATGATGGTTTTGGTGATCGGTGATCACCGATCATACACATATTCACGGAAATCGGCAGATTATGATCAGTGGCCGATCTATTGGAACACCTCTGATATGTATGTGTTTATACAGCTCTGGAAAAAATTAAGAGATTACTTAAAATAATCAATTTGTCTGTTTTTACTTTTTGAAGGAATATGTTTGGGTAAAATGAATATTTCTCTTTTCTTCTATGTACTACTGACATCATGTCTCCAAAATTCCAAGCAAAAATTTAGTATTTAATTACAGAAAATGAGAACTGGTCAAAATAACGAAAAAGATGCAGTGCTTTCAGACCCCAAATAATGCAGAGAAAACAAGTTCATATCCATTTAGAAACAACACTAATGTTTTAACTCAGGAAGAGTTCAGAAATCAATATTAGATTGAATAACCTTGAGGTTTTCAGTGATGTTCAGTGGTCTCTTAAATGTTTCCAGGGCTGTATATAGATGTTTGTATGTGTGTGCGTTTACATGCGAGTGAGAGATCAGTGCTGTTGTCAGTTTAATGTCACATTAAACTTGTTGGAAGTTAATGTGGTGGTCATGTGCTTAAGTCATTATGCAGCTACAAGTAAGATTTTTCAGATCAAAAACAGCATGAACTCAATTAACTGTCACATGCACATTGGAAAATAGTTTTTTTTTTTTAATGTCATCAGGTGGTATGGCCAGGAGAAGGACTACAACGTCCTAGTCATGGACTTGCTTGGACCCAGTTTGGAGGACCTTTTTAACTTCTGCTCTCGACGATTTACCATGAAAACTGTCCTCATGCTGGCAGACCAAGTAAGTAAAATTGCACTAATTAACCCTAACCCATAAAGCTTGTTTTGGGTATCCAAAACACTCTCTGTAGCCCTTATTAAAAACTTATTAACTTATTAAAAACTCAACAGACACAAAATGGAAGCGCGACTAAAGCCACACAAATTAAGTCTCCTGTTTGTCCCTCTATATCCAGCAGAGAGGTGCAGTTTAGGGTATTTAACTCATCATGCAGGGCAGGTCCAAGATTGTTTGAGTCATTGAGCAGAATTTGACTTGGGAGCCCCTCCAATAGAGGCACTGCTAACAACATTTCAACATAATTTTAGTCAGTTCTGAGAGGAGGGTAAATTAATTGGCCAACCTAAAAAAACAATCGATGATAATTGTAATTTACTGAGATATATTTGGGAACAAACAGAGCTTAAACTCACAGCATCAGATTGTCACTGTGGTTACTAAACAATCTAACTATCTAGATTGTTCTTTGAACTTTTACATAGTCATCTTGTCAGCTCCTTAAAATCTTAAATTTAAATGTTAAACAGTTTAAAATATTTTAATTTATGTATGCTGAAACCATTAAATCAAACTTAGTATAATTGATCTTCTCAATAAACAAATGTTACATTTATATATTAGCATTTATGTGGGAGCCTTGTAGTCCTTGGGGGACTTCTGCAGCTGCTGATTTAATTTGGATTAAACAGAAGTGCAAATAATTGATATTTATTAGGCCCAAGCAGTGAATTTCACCCAAAATTGTCTCCAAACTAAACTTTTTGGATTCTAGTGGAATCACAAGTGGGTGTTTCCAAACTGCTCTACAGCCCCCTATAGCACAGGGGTGTCCAAAGTGGGTCCTGGAGGGCCGACATCCTGCATGTTTTAGTTCTCTCTCTGGTTTAACGCACCTGCATCAAATGAAACATTGACTTGCTGAGGAGGTTGTTCCCACCCCCAGGGAGAGAACTAAAACAGGCAGTATGCCGGCCCTCGAGGACCGACTTTGGACACCCCTGCTCTAGCATGAGTTTAGACAATCTGTAGATGAGTCAGATCTGAAATTTTGTAGATGACCCCCAAATCAAGAGAAAACGTCTCGTGGAGGAACCCCATAAAATGTCCAGGGAGGTGGCCATTTTGGGTCATATGTTGTCTATTTTTCAATTTTACACACCTCAAACTTTAACAAACTCCTCCTAGTGATTTCGAGCTATCAACTTCATTTTTGGTCAGGATGCAGTTAAGGTGTGGAGGATTTAATGTTATCAAAAAACTGAATATTCATATATTCTTAGAGGGCGTGGCCAACCGGTAAACTTGCCGTACTTGCCAAAGCAAACGAAAAGCTATAACTTTCACATAAAAAGGTCAATTGGCACCAAACTTGGCATGAGTGATCCTGGTTGGATGGTCTGACCCCCTTGAGCTAATCAAGATGATCTTGTGTCAGAAGACAGAAACTAGTTGGTCTCACTTGCTTTAAAGTGCGAAAAGGTTTCGGTGGAGGGCGTGGAACAGGCAGCGTGGCAAAGTCACAGGTCACAAATTCCACATATTTCAGCCGAGCTGCACCAAACTCACTGTCGAACCCCCGTGAGGAATGCAGTCCAATATTTGGTAGACGTGGCCTAATTCTTCCACAGTGCCTCCTAGAAATCTTTAAAAGAAAAAAAAACAAAAAAACAGCCCCAAGCTATGCTTTGACTGACAATCATGAAATTTGGTATACATGTACATCTTGACAGGATGTAAAAAAGAGAGTCTCTGGGAGCCATGGTCTAAACCCAAGAGGAAGTCAGCCATTTTGGATCAAAGCATGTTGTATCTGAACAAATGCATCCTACAACTTTTGAGATCCAGGCTTCAAAATCAATCAGCACAGTCTTGAGGTATTGAAGGTCAAAAATGATCAAAATCTTTCTCGTTCATCAAAGTGTGTGGGCATGGCTAAACCTCAAATCTGCCATTCTCTATGAAACATCAAGGTGGAATAACTTTCCACATAAGCTCCCAGCTGCATTAAAATTTCTTTGATATCACAGACCAGGGCTTCTCTCATTCACATGGTCAACTGGTGACATCACCTTTGCCCTGCAACAACATAATGATAAATCCTCCTCAACACTGGCTGCTGGCGGGATATAGGCAATTTTTTCTGCCATAATTCGAGAGCATACATTTTCAGTTTGAAAGCAGGGCTTTGAGTCTATCTTCTCAAAATCTGTAATGTTTGCATTCAAAACTTTTGCTCTGTTTCAAATATTATCTGTGCTTTTTCAAACCTTTCTCCTCACACTCAAAACTTGTCTCTGCTTGGATCAAATCTCCGCTTGCAAACTTCTCTGCTCGCAATACAAGCGCAATCATTTTTTGCTTGTGCTTGGAAAAAAAATACCATCGCTTGGCAACCTCTCGGTCAATAGAATGCAAACGTCATACTGAGTGCATAAATATTAAAAGTTTTGAGAACAAGAGACATAAAATTCTGCTTTCAGACTGAAGATGTGTGCTCTCGAATTATGGCAGAAAAATTCCCCCAAAATGTGAGGATGTGGTCGTGGCTAAATGGTGAATTCTAATCTCTTGCCATTTGCACACAGTTGTCTTTAAATCATAAATGCATCATCTGATTTTCACAAAACTTATGATTGATCTTTGTTAACCTCTAAAGAGCTCAATAGCATTAAATTGTAAATTAACTCCACTGTGCCTCCTACTTTATTCTAACAGCTATATTCCTTTAAGACAGGGGTGTCCAAAGTCAGTCCTCGAGGTCCTGCATCCTGCACGTTTCAGTTCTCTCCCTGGTGGTAGTAACAACCTTTTCAGCATGTCAGTGTTCTCCCTTAGGCCTTTTAACGAGCCATCATTTGATACAGGTGTGCTAAACCAGGGAGAGAACTAAAACATGCAGGATGTCGGCCCTGCATCCTGCAGGGGTGTCCAAAGCAGGGGTGACCCACTTTGGACACCCCTGCTTTAAGATATCAACTGATCTGCAGCAGATTTTTTTGTGCATCGTCAGGGAGCATTGCTGAACACATTGTGCATCGCCGAGTGGTCAGGTGTGGGAACTGCGTGAGAGCGGGTAGCGTTGCTGGACCTCCTGTGGGCGCCATGAGGCTAGAGCAGCGACCTGCCATTGCCTCCAATGCTGCTTGCAGCTTTAATTTTAATTGCATTTTTTGGGTTGTTTTTAAAACTCTATAGTCTTAAATAGTATTTCACTGGCGATGTCTTCCCATAACTTACAATTACTCAGTAATATGTTAACATTTCCTGTCAACTTAACATCTTTGAAGACAAAAACACCATGGACCGCTGGTAGAATCCCTCGGCACCCCGACCACCGGGCTTAGCAAGTTTTCTGGGGAAATCCTATTTTAGATGCAAGAACAATACAGTAATACTGTAGGCTGTTTAGTTTTTATAAATCGTATAACTAAATAAATTTAGAAGTAAATTTGAGAAATTTCAATACATTTTATTGAAACTGAATAAATGTGTTTCTGTGTGTGTTGAAGGTATCAAATCCTGTCGCTCACATGGAGACAAAGGCTATAAATAACTGGGAAAAGTGAATGTTCAGCTATTAAATTGATTGAATATGAACATAAACTAAAAACTGTAGTACAGAAATTATTTTGGAAGTGTCTTTGTGAGCCTGCTGCTTTTTTTTTTTTCTCAAATAATTTTTTTATTTAGACGGATTTCCATCACATTCATTAATTACAACTTTACCCATTTAAGGTAGTATATGAATAGGTACCGGCAGCGATGCTCTTTCCACTCAGGAATGGGAGAGAATGCGTGCTGATCACAGAAAATGCCCTAACTTCCCACCATCAAAAGTCCTTTTCAGAATATTTTTTTTCCAAAAGCAACACTGCTGTGTTAAAGTTAATTGATTTTCCTTTCCAATGATACCAGTTTTATGTATGTTGAAGCAAATAAAACACTTTAAATTTCACAGTAATTTTCATAAGTTTTTTGAAAAGCCACATTATTTATGCTAATTCGAACGCCCCTCCGGAAAGGCGCTGAAACATTGTCCAAGAAAATCGGATCGGGCGTCACGAACACATGACCAAATGAGCCAACAGTGATATCATATTAATCCTTAAACTTTCTATACATACCCGGTTTGTCAAGGGTTATTTTTTTAGTGTTTTTTTTTAAATCATAAAAGTATCAAAACTTCGTCAAATAGCGAACGAATTATAAAAAATAAACCCGACAAAATGGGTATCAAATTAAAGATCAATTTGTTGGCTTTAATATAATACTGGAATCAATGTGCGTGACACCCCACGCATATCAACACACGAACGGACCTCCCGCGAGGCGCCCCTTCCAGCTTTCGCTCTTTCTGTAAGCTAAATGTGGCTACGTGGTGAAGCTAGCTAAAAACTAATAACTGGAGTTTTAAGTTTCCGGTAGTTCTAAGAGCGGATCGAGTGAACCCCTCCTGAGCTTTTTACCGTGTGCATGGTTCTAGCGGGGACGTTGTTTTAACAATTTCTTTTTTTGATTTTGCAAACTGAAAAGCGGACGGACCGCCCGACTGGCTGATCATGACATCCACCGCACTATGCCGAGCTCCACCGCGTTCTAACGCGACCTGCCGGAGCCCCGCACAAAGGCTGCGGGAGAAGTTAAATCTAAAGTTAAATCTAGTTGAAACTTTGAGGAGAAATTAAGCAAATATGGTCCCTTCACCTCCTCACCTGAACGTGGGGTTATTCATCCTCCTCCTCCTCTTCCACAGGAATGCTTTGCTTCCCTGTCCTTATTATTTAATAATACATGTTTTTATGGGCCACAGGAATTATGCATGATGATCTGTATTTGTGTGGTTAGGTTTGTGCTGATTTTGTGCAATTTGTGCAACAAGGACATGAAGCGCGTTAGCAGACGGCTTCTGATATGGGAGGCATGGGCAACCGCCCAGGGCATCATTATGTGGGCAGCGGCATGATGAAGTGACTGTATCTATACTAAAATAATAAATTCTAGACACTTTTTATGAAAAACTACTTTCTTTGGCACTTTTTCAGATGGTCGATAGTAGGGAATTTTCCATAAAAAAGAAATCTAAAAAAACAATCTCTATTTACTGCCAACAATATAGAAAAAAACTACTAAAGATGGTCAGAAATAAAAGTTTTTATATGATGCTGCAGCCTAATTGACATCTAGGAAGGAAGTTTCAATGAAATGCATAAAAAATAAACATTTTGGTGCAAGTCAAAAATTCTCTAAAATTAGATTATTTAAAAAAACAAACAAAAAATCCCTATTTCCTACCAGCAATATCAAAGAAACTATTAAAGATGGCCAAAAATGGATGCCTTTATGTTATTCACCAGCCTAATTCAGTGTTTTTCAACCACTGTGCCGCGGCACACTAGTGTACCGTGAGTGATCGTCGGGTGTGCTGTGGAAATTATCCAATTTCACCTACCGTAGTTTCTGGACAATAAGCTGCTACTTTTTTCCTACACTTTGACCATGCAGCTTTTCTGTGGATTTTTCTTCAACCACCAGGGGGCTCTTTAGCAGGAAGTGAATCATTGGAAGTCAAAATTGGAAATCAAAGAAGAACGCGCTAATTTTAATTTAGAACAAGCACATGCTAGCAGCAGGCACGACGGAGAAATGTTTTCAAACTCATATGATGCAGCTTCTAAGTTGAGGAGTATCGATCTGGCACTACAGGAGGGAAACAAAGCCGCTGCACGTAAACTCGGCGTGAACAAAACCAGATTTAGAGACGGAGACCTGCGTCCTTAATATATCCAGCAGTTGCTGCCCTCCAGCAGAGGGCAGCAACTTCAACTTCAACTTCAACGGTACCTTCAAAATTTGAAGGTACCGTTTATAGCATGGTGCGCTCATAGTCCGGAAAATACGGTACGAATACGAATTCAGAGGTGTGCGTTGAGGGAGTGGTGAGAATGATTTCTTTGTGAATGAGCAATTATGTGTGGCGTTTACATCTCAATACGCTGCCCAGCGTGTGGCTCTGTCTGTCTACGCTGTAAAGTTTATATATGTGGTCCCGGCTCACCTGTATAAATACTCCTCAGCGCTCTTCCCGCTGTTCGCTCTGAAGCAGCAGCTCCCGGAAGAGGAAGGCCGCAGTACTCCAGGCATCGCACCAGTCATTTTAAGGATTATTATAATTATAATTAATTTTGTATACTACAGAAAAGTAATTGTTAGGGATGCATGAATATGAAAATTTTTCCTGACATTGATCTCCACCAATTAAGTTCAGTGAAGTGAGCTGCGTACCATTTTGTAGAAAATAATTTTTCCACCTTCCTTTCTGAATCATGTTTGCTAAAGCGGACACGCCTGACGCTCAAAGGAAAATATTTAATATTTTTTTGTTGTGATGGGCATTTTATTATTTGTTGGATTTTGAAAAAAATAAAATTTCAGGAGTGGTTAACAGCGTTACCTAAATCTAAAATGTTTCACATTAAAAAATCTTGTATGCCAGAATATGCATAGCAAAAAAATAAAAAATAAAATCTGATCTGAATTTTTTTCCATCATATTTGGGTCAAAACCCACTCCCCCACAGTAGTGAGGAAAAACTCATCACTGCACCGAACTGCACATTAACTGGTTACATTGAGACTTGCCAGTGAAGAAGCTCCTTAATAAATCATACAAGTTCTGAGCCAGTAGTTTCCTAACAATTTCTCTCAGTAGTTCTGATTTAACTGAACAATAAGCAACTCATGTTTTCCCCCTTTCTTGATGTTTCTTTTCTCCCAGATGATCAGCAGAATTGAGTATGTACACACAAAGAACTTCATCCATAGAGACATCAAACCAGACAACTTTCTCATGGGTATTGGCCGTCACTGTAACAAGGTAAGGTAGCTTCTATACATATTTTTAAATATGGCACATAGAGTTCGTGACAAAAAGGTGAATACAAATATTTGTCTAATTGTTCATTTAGTTTATCTTCATGTGTAGTTTTTGTAAGACTATGTGGTGTCATAACTTTAATGTGAGCTGACGGCATTAGAGAGACTGCAAGCTGTCAACTTAATCTCATACTGGGGTCAGGCCTACAGACCGGCCCATTAAGTGATTAGAAAGACACCCTGACAATTATAAAAGACTAAAGACAGAAAATAGGACTAACACAGCAAAATGCTGGTCTGCAATACAAAGTTCAGAACAGTCTTTTAGCAAACTTTTCACTGAATAAAAATAAAGCAACTATATGAAAAAACAAACTGACTCTGTATGATGTCATCAGACTTTAACTGTTATCCATCAGCTGGAAAACAGAAATCAAAGACAACTTTTAAATCAAGGTTTATTAGGAGGATAATAAACGATCAACAGTGTTAAAGAAATTAGCCATTCATGGTATTTATGGGTTGTGGGAGAAATGATCAACTGTAAGTTTAGTTAAACTATAATGATTAATTATTATTGTAATCTGACTTTATTGCTGAAGCATAGATTTTATTTTTTGTTTTAGATTTTATCAAAAACAGAATTTAGCATTTTTATTTCTTGTCGCTCAGGTTTGATTTGCTGCAATGAACTCATTGATAGCTCCTGACAAAAGCTATCAATGAACAAAAGGGATTCGTTTGTCTT